CATCCCAAAAATATTAGTGAGTCTCAGACTCAATCGATTGGTTGCATCCTCAGAAAGAGTATTCTTGTTAATATGAAAGCTTAACAAATTCTACATTTCAAACATCAACAAAATACAGTATTTAATTAAGTAATATCATTACAAGCAACACATGCTATTTCAAAAATACAAACAACTTAAGGCTAATTTTTTTTTATACTTGATAAGTACGCTCATAAACATAACAAGCTTTGCCTTCAAAGCCCAATGACAGGTGCAATCTTACTGGATGTTCAATTCCCTTTAGTTTAAAAATTTGACTTTGAGACTTGAGGGAGTAATTCATAAAGGAGTAGTTTTCTAAAGAAACTACGGTGCTGCGTTGGTGGGAGAGTATAACAAGATAATTTGATTTTGTCAACTGAGTTGATGACATAAATTGGCCACCATAAAGAGTTTCAAAGCTTGGTGGCAACGGTGTCAGTTGAAAATTAACCTTGACGTAATTAAGAGTAATTTGCAAAAGCCTCCCCAGGTGACCTGACTTGATATAAGCTCATAAATAAATGGACGGTCTTCCTTATTAGTCCGATTTAAGGCTGATATAAATTTAGAGCTCGCCTGTTCTGGCCAAGACTAACCCTTTTCTAACCCTCATCAGAGTGTCTTGCGATTCTTCTTGAAGCCTTTTCCTAACTGGAGTTATGTTGAATTTTCCACCGTGGTTTGGATTTTTCTTTCTCCTCGATCGCGATTTATTCACCGATTGCAAATATGGCGACGATCCCTCCAAAGCGAGGCTTCTCGGTAGCAACACCGTTGCTAGGGGCTAGGAGCGTCAGTTTTCAAGTATTTCGTGCCAGTCAGTACCAGTCGGATTACAATTTTTTCACGGGATTTCCAGATTATAAAACCCTTCTAGTTTGCTACAATTTTTTAAATCCAGGTGAGAATATTGTTTATGTTGACAGCACAACAGAAGATTTAGAATTTGCAGCATTTAGTGATGTGGATGGGTCCCAGGGAAATAAACCAGGCAGGCTTCGAAAAATTAGTACCCTGGATGAGTTCTTTATGGTCCTTGTTAGATTGAGGCTTGGGTTATTTGAACTTGATTTGGCCCACAGATTCAGAGTGCATGTTTCCACCGTAAACAGGATTTGCATTTCCTGGATCAATTTTTTGTACTTAAAATTTGGCTACCTCAACAATTGGCCGGACAGAGAGACAATATACAAAGCCATGCCCCAGTCATTCAAGGATAAATACCCAAAAAACAAGGGTCATTATTGATGGAACAGAGATCAAGTGTCAGACCCCATCCTCTTTAGTTTTGCATAGTGAGACCTATTCCTCATACAAGAGGCATACAACATTTAAAAGACTGACTGGCATTGCACCCAATGGCCACATAGCATTTATTTCCCAACTCTATGCTGGCAGTAATTCAGACAGGGAGTTAACAGCTAGGTCAGGGTTGCTTAACTTACCTTATTCCCAAGGTGATTTTGTGATGGCTGACAAGGGGTTTACCACTTCTCACCTTCTTGAACCTATTGGTGTTGGCCTAAATATCCCCCATTTCTTGGTTTGCAAAGTCAACAGGCCCCTTCAGAAGTCATTGCCACTCAAGAAATAGCATCAGAGTGAATTCATGTGGAAATAACTACAAACAAAGTAAAGAAGCCAAAACATTTACAAACATTCAGAATCCAATAATTCTTAGCTAATGGTAAAGAGCCTTATATTTAAGGTACTATAATTTCTAACATATTTACATTACTTGAAATAAATTTTGGTAATTGGTTACCTCACTAAATATCAGGTGTCATTTCAAAACTTGTCATCCATTGACACTGCTTGCTGATATTGCCATAAGAGTGACTGTGGGAGTTGCTGGTACAGCACACACTTCAGCGAGCACTGGTAGTGCCTTGAAAAATTTAGCTTAGTGCATAAAGAACTAATTTCAACAACATAGAGGCAAAAAAGTCTGGATCAAATTAAATACATTCAATGACCATTCCCTGAAATGTGTAGGTAACAAAGTCACACCACTTCATCATTGTTATCCCCATTCATCCTTGAACCTGATAACTGTATTTATGATTTGTCTTCAAAACTGGAAAGTTGTCTTTCATTTGCAGATGAAATTGACTATCACCAGCACATGCTGTCTTGGATGTGACATTTCGGTGTTTGTAAGGTCCTTTTAATTTCAACAATCCCATATAGGTTGTCCTCTGTGTCATTCATCAATAGCCTTTGCGTCAGGTGAGTAACCAAGGAATGGGCGAGCATGGTTTACAACAAAGCCAGATGAAAATTTTTTGACAGACAGTTCTGGTACCACTCAAGGGCTTTACTTTCATGTACAATACCATGTTTCAAGGGTTCTGGTAAATTTCTTAGGCTGCCAGAGGTGTCCATGTCCTTAACAAGCCCCTTAAGAAAAGAAGTACTGATTGATTTTAGACTTAAGATATCTCCAAACGTTGAAGCTGTTAGTCTTGATCTACTTTCACACCACCACTGGCTACTATTGTGTTGTGCTTGTGTTTCAGACTCAAGTGAAGCAGCATTGTGTTTACTGATTCTCAAGGTATCATAAAACTGTTGATATTCTGAAGGGCACTGTGTGACATTAAACAAGGGAAAAACTAAAGATAGTGGGAAAGATGGATAAATTGTTAAAGGAACACTGTCACTGTTACATCGCTCGGGCAAGTGAACATTGTATGCAGCTTTGAAGTTTCCTGCAGTGGGTGCCAATTGATAGCTGAGATATCCTCCCGAGGGGGCAGGTCCAACTCTGGTGGGTACATTTTCACCCACAGTATTCATGTACAAACTGAACCCAAAGTTCTTGTTCAACTTCTGCAAATGGCCTTTAAAACATTCAATCTCTGTGTTCAGTGCTTGGGGCTGCCTTTGCTTTCGGATACAATGAACAGGAAATGCCGGGTGAAGTTTGTTTTGAAGTGTTCCCCCAGCCAGACATGTCTAATTTGGACAAGCAAATTCTGTATAAGACACGATTTATTTTCTTGTGAGATGAAAATATGCCAGTGGATGTTAAAACGCTTACTTTAGGATATCAGAACACTGTTTCAACAGTTATTGTTGACCAGCTCACACTTCAATTGCTTTTGAGAACGAAACCTTTCTCTAAGGTAACAACTGATTAACTATTAAAATCTTGATCGTGAAAGTGTGATGCTTGACAAATATTCGCTACTGTGCTAACACATCAATTCTCAGCTGCTACGTAGAAGACCATCCTT